ACATCCTTTAATATTACATTTCTGCCGTATGTACAGTTAGAATAGTATGCAAGTATAGAAACAGTGTGCTTGCCACTGTGAGGCCTTAAACTATGTCACGTGTCTGAGTATACGCCCATTCCTGTGCTTATGTGTAGGTTGTTACAGTATGGAGGCATAGAGGCAGCGTGCCTGCTACTGAAGGACAGCAGCCCGGACACACAGGCAGGTGCGTCTATGGCATTATATCACATCACGAGAGATCCCTCTGAGCGCGAAAGGCTCGCTAGCAAAGGTGTGTGGTTGATGCAGCGTGTGTTCAAACGTGTGAGTTGTATTGGGTTAGTCATGTGGTATCACTTGTGTTGAGTGGTGGGTGTTGATTGGTTTGGCCTTGTGCTTCCTTCTTACATGCCGATAGGGTGTGTCCCCAATCTCTCAAGCGCTTCCTTCTCACCCCACGCGTGCACACTCCATGGCCATTCATCGCAGGTGTTGTGGAGGCGCTCTACGGTGTCGTACGCCGCCGGAAAGCCGATGACCTCACCATGAAGCACTGTCTGGGGGGGCTGTGTCTGTGCGCCAGTACACAGAGCATCGCCCCACGGCTGGTCAAGAACGACCACCTGCGGCTGTTGCTGGACTGTGTGTCAGACACGAGCGCGTTCACGACCAGTCGCATTTTGGCTATTCGGATTGTGCTGGCGCTGGCGCGGCAGGAGAGTGTTCAGGAAGGTAGGTAGGAGGCGTCGCGAGTGTTGTGTGTGGTTGTGCTTTATTTACTTGTCTGATGGTACACGGATGAATGTAAAGTTAGTTGGCCGTTAAACGTATACCAAGATTAGCTCACGAGAGAATACCAAAAAGTTGTACGACATGTCGGATTTTGGCCCTCCGCTTTGTGCTGGGCATTGTGTGGCAGGAGAGTGTTTGGGAAGTCTCGTGTTGTGTGTGATTTTGGACTTCTATGGTTTTAGGGCCTGGTGTGGCAGGAGAGTGTTTGGGAAGGTGTTGTGTGATTTTGGACTTCTTTGGTTTTAGGGCCTTGTGTGGCAGGAGAGTGTTTGGGCAGTCTCATGTTGTGTGATTTTGGACTTCTTTGGTTTTAGGGCCTTGTGTGGCAGGAGAGTGTTTGGGAAGTCTCGTGTTGTGTGATTTTGGACTTCTTTGGTTTTATGGCCTTGTGTGGCAGGAGAGAGTTTGGGAAGTCTCGTGTTGTGTGATTTTGGACTTCTTTGGTTTTATATTGCTTGCTTGTCCTGTGGAATGGGTCGTGTATCGGATTCGAGTGGGAGTGCGACAGTTGGGATACTGACTTTTGGCTGACTAGAGTATGTTTTTATTAGTGGTGTCAGGAGTGTGTTCCTGTTTTGGTAAGGAGAGTGATACTAATAACCTGTTGCTATGAGCGTATTTGGCGTTCGCCAGAGTGAGTAGCAATTGGTAAGGCCAGACTTCAGTTGCTTTGTCCCTAGGGTGCAGTAGACCCTAAAACCCTAAAACCTTTAAACCCTACCTTTGAGTCGGGTCGGGGTGTGTCCACGGTAGTATTTGGGCTTTCGGGATGAGATGCCTCGTGTGTTGTGCATGTGTTGCTGTCACTTACGAATGTTTACCTCATATGATGTACGCACATCATGTGGGCCTCAAGTATAGTGTTCTAAAACATACATACGACAATAGCGGACAGTCCATATTGTGTGTTGTGAGCTGTTGTTATGAAATACGATTTATAATAGTACGTACATATTGTGTGCTTTCAGCCGTTGGCATGGATAATAACTGATTCTAATACGTACATTATGTGTACTTTCAGCTATCTAATACGTACATTTTTTTTACTTTCAGCCATCTAATACGTACATTATGTGTACTTTCAGGGCACCAATTAATCCTCCTACCTACCTCTATCGCATTGTGCACTTGCAGCTATTGTCATGGACAAGAACGGTGCTCTAAAACGGCTGGTGCAATGCCTTGAACTACCAGAAGAAGACCTGGTGGTTGTCACAGCACAATCTCTGGCGTTTCTATCCACAGGCTCAGAGCCAATCAAAACACGCATCGTGCAGTGCGACACGGCCTTGCACTCTGTGCTCTGCCGCACGGCCGAGAAGGTGTGACACCATGTGT